ATATATATAGTAATATTAACCGGGCTCCATCAATAACACATTTCACTAGTGAAGTTTTTTCTTTTAAACAAAACTAAAAAAGACTAAATCAATCAGCCAAACCTTGAAGCAGAGCATTCATTGAGTCAATGCCTTGAGGTCCGACTGCTGTTGCTACCAGGAAGGAAAAGAGAGCTCTTCTTCCGCAGTTTTGGTTTAGCTTAAAGGGCTGGAAGGAAACCAATGATGTTACTGAGGTAGAAGCTAATGGCAGCTTGGTTGAAGCTGTAATTCCCAGAGTCCGAAAGCCATGGGAACTCATCTTCAGGTTTTTATTCCCTCCAAGAATGGAATTGTGAGAGAGTAGAGCAGAGCTGCTGTAATCCATGCGCAAACATAGACCACAGCTTTGGATAAGATAACAAGTAAATGTCGGCAGCGCCGGCCCACTCCAATAACCACAATTTAAAATACTTTACTCGGCAACTATTGATAGATATTTTTAATCATGAATTTGTGTTAATTTTCTTAATCATGAATGTTTCTATTAGTATTTAAGTATATTAATCATCTCAGAATCGAGCCACTCAAGGTGCAAGATTTAATTATAAACATATAAGAATCCAAGATAATTTGACCGTTCAATTGATTTCTCATAAATCTTAAATGCTTGATATGAATCTATTTGAATTCGGGTTATGCCACTTTAATGTTGCATTTTATCTCTAGAGCTGGTCCAGAATATCAATTATCAAAAATGATAGTTTAAGTCAAGATGGATATTCAAAATATTTATTGATTTACTTTATTCTAAGCTCAAAACCTTGCTTGAATTTAATCTGTAATTGAAACTTGTTTATATTTATGCATAACTCTGTTATTATACATAGGTATGCTTAATGTGAAGATCGAGTTATCTTAATTATGTTAAACGCAATTTTAAATTTGAATTAAAATTCAACATTTTCTTGGTTTGTTATTATTTTTTTAAATTTTCAATCAATGATATGGAAATTCAAAACGATTAAAATCAAACTTAGTTCAATATGTTGAATTTTTTTTTCTCTGGGATCAAACATTTCATTTATTTTGGCAAAATGTTGACGAGTCAAACAAGAACAAGTAAAAATGTGCTGAGTTAAGAAAAATAATGCATGGAATGCTCTAAGATTCATGCAATCGTCAACTAAATCAAATTCATTATTCATGCATTTGATAAATATTTGATATAGCTTTTAGTGCAAGGGTTGCCACTGATAAAAACCCTCATTTTACAATTAATACAACGTAGTTTTAACTGATGATACAGCTCAAATGTGATTGAATGCAGAGGAAGATATTATTGAAATTTTTGATGCATTTATTTTTGCCTCAAAATATATTTCAAAGAGGCTTCCTTGAACTCCATCTATCAAACATGGCGAAACATTGCTGGGGCCTGTACTCTGGAGCAGTATGTCCTGCATCCTGAAATTAAAACAAACATACAAGAAACTAGGACCATTACTAACAAAAGATTAATCAACAAACAATTGGATGGATTCATAACAAAGGAGCTTAAAGATCAAATTAGAGCAACTACATATTTTAGTTACCCTCACTGTCGCAAAAGTTAAATTGTGTGAATACTGCACCGTATACCTAAAGAATTGGCTAAACATTAGGAAAACCTCTTTATATATATATATGAATAAATTAAATGCCATGCTTCAAATTAATGTCATTCAGTCAGTCGAAAAGTAATTATCAGTAATTGAGAGGAAATTACCCTGCAACTTGATTATCCACGCTCCATGATCTCCATGGATCCTCAACCGTAAAGTTTAAGGATTTAATCCACACCTTAGTGCCCACAAATGGGATGAGCATGTCATGGTCCCCACTGTTTCAAAAAAAAGTATGGAAAATATGTACCATATTGATTATAAATTAATTATTATTCCTTTTCAATCAATAAATAGCTTACAATATTTTTACCTGTAAACTAGAGCTCGGTAACCTCTTTTCAACAGATTCAGCTGATAAGGTAAACTGCTTGGGATGTCTTTTACGTAATCCAAGGTGTTGCACCTCTGCCATTCCCTCACAGTTCCCTGCTCCATAATGCATGCCCACAAAAGAAATAGGATCGGCAGTGTGTGTGTGTTTGCGTGTGTGTGTGTATAAGTTTTGAATGTAGTAATTATACAAATTAAGTGTGGATCTATATATGGATCTTACCTTCTTGATTTGAAGGGCTTCTCGGGTGACATTTTTGTTTGCCCAGAAATAGCCAAGGTAATAAGCATATCCCTGCAGCAACAGAAGTTGGCATCATGAGCTTGTTCGATCGCACTCAAGTATATAAAACAGATGAGAAGGATATAAAACTTTGCAGCGGAGCTCAGGAGCCGGCGGTGGACGGAAGAGGCGGTTCCCAAAGTTGTCCTCTTTCAGTGATCTCTTGTAGTATTCTCCGGCGACGTCTTTAGGCCTTGGGAAGTCCACCGCACATTTGGGCTCCAACACGTCTGTCTCCGACAACTCCCAGCGGTACTGCATGTATCCCCTGTTACATCTTCAAACCCACCACACCATACATCTCTCTCATGTAAATATTTTCATTTCTTACTCTTTGAAAGGTTTTGAGGTGAGCAGCACACGCGGCAGTTGTTGGACTTTCGTCGTTTTGTCCCGCACAATTCTTTTGCACAAGCTAAAACATTCGAATTTAAGGGTTAATTATCGATCAGGAATCTTTTTCATAAACACATACACAAATTCATTAATTATTTAATCTGCAATGTATTTCTTGCAGGAAATTCTTACCCCGGCAAATTCATCAGAGATGATACCCATTCCAAGGGCGAATGGAACTCGAGCTTTGACATCAATTTCTTCACCTGTCCTTGGATTCCCAATAATATAACCCTGAAATAATTCATAAACTTCTTTCAATAATAATATATGTTAGGTATCGCTCATATACCATATAAGGGACACATGCAGGGGCAGAACGGAGCAAGCAGCGGAGCGGAGCAGAAGAATTTGTCTAATGGGCGGAGTTTTGTTACGTGGATTGGGGGTGCGGGGGCAATGCCCCACGGTACGGTACAGGGGTAATCCTGTAATCATATATTGTGCTCCAGAGTTATATATATATATATCTGTTTGTAACCCTAGGGCTTATTCTGTATTCTGTACTCTTTTCTGAAATTGAAGGAAAGCCGTCGTTCTACTCACGAGGACATAAGTATCTTTGCCGAACCTTGTTAAATCTCTTTGTGTTCTTCTAGATTTGTGTCGATTCTTTTTTTTTTTGCCCTAAATTCTCAATAAGTGGCATTAGAGCGAGGCTATACGGCAGAGATTTGCAAGGAAAATTTTGGTGCAGGAAGGACGAATTTCGACGATTTGGTTCGACTAGGGCTTCGACGGTTTGACACAGGAAGCGTCCAATTGCGGAAGTTCGACGAATTTGGCTGGGCATTCTACGGTTCAGTGCGGGAAGAGTCGCTCGCAGCGTTCAGTGCGGGCTCGTGTGACAGTCTGCGAGCACTTCGGCTCGACAGGATTGCATGGAGTTCGCGTGACCAGGCGAGAGGGTGTTATGCAGAGAAAAACCCCGCGAATCGCAAAAATTTTGCAGAGAATTTTGCGAGCAGTTACCGAGCAGGCGAATCGCAATAACTAGACCAACAAGTGAATCACGGCAGATTGGAGGAGTTCGTGAAGGGGCTTCGTTGTTTCAACCAGAGTAGTTCGTGAATATCACAAAGCATCGCAGGGGCCACCTCGGGCTCTTCTTCGCAACCGAGCAGCGAAAGATTTAGGAAGGAGTTTGCAGAAGTTTTTTGGTCTTCTCAATCAGATTGCCTTCGCATTTTGCAAAGACAGAAAATCTCTAGTTTAATGATTTCGCTTTATCGCAAGACATGATAAGTTCTTGGTAGGAGTAATCGTAGTAATCTGCGATGACAATGTCTGGTGTAAAATTTGAAGTGGTGAAGTTTGATGAAGCTGGTAAATTCAGATAGTGGCAAACAAGAGTGAAAGATTTATTGGCACAATAGAGAATCTTAAAGACTTAGCGGGCAACGAAACCAGATGTCATGGAGGATGAAGATTGAGAAGAATTGCAATAACGAGTGGCAATAACCATGTGTTTATGCCTGACAGACGAGGTTATGTATCACGTGATAAATCTAAAATCTTCATGGGAGGTATGAAAGAAATTGGAAACTCAGTTTATATCCAAATCTCTGACGAATAAACTGTATCCGAAGCAAAAGTTGTATGGGTTAAAGATGCAAGAAGGTTCTGATATAGCACAACATGTGAATGACTTCAAACAAATAATCAAAGATTTATCACAACTTGATGTGAGTATTGAGGATGAAGAACGAGCAATGATTCAACTATATTCATTGCCTTATTCTTATGAACACCTGGTGACTACTATTAATTTTGAGAAAAAAACTATCAAAGTTGATGAGATTACTGCAACATTGTTGGCTCACAACGAGTGGAAGCAGAATGCAGGGGAAAACTCTCATGGTGATAATTTATCTGTCAAGGGTAATCAAGATCGTGGAAGGAAGAAAGAGAAGAAGAGTTCTGGAATGAGAAATTCCAGATCAAAGTCTAAAGACAAAAGGACGATTCATTGCTATAAGTGCAAGGAGTCATGTGATATGAAGAGAGATTGTCCAAAAGATCAAGAAGCAGACTGAGGAGAAACGTGATGCATCATCGAAGTCTGTAAATGTGGTGCAGAGTGACAATTCAGATTGCAGTGATGGAAATATACTTTCAGTTTGATCAACTCGGTTCATGGATGCATGTATTCTTGATTCAGGATGCTCCTATCATATAACACCTAACAGGGAGTGGTTTACTTCATATAGGTTAACTAATTCCGACTCAGTATATTTAGGTGATGATAAATGCTGCAATATTGTTGGTAATAGTGAAGTCAGAATTAAGATATATGATGAAACTGTTAGAACATTGTGGAATGTCAGACATATTCCAGATTTGAAGAAGAATTTGATTTTCTTGGGTACTCTAGATAGAAATGGTTTCATTCCTTAGGCATATGAGGATATGGAAACCATCAGAATTGTTAAGGGGGCACTGACTGTGATTAAAGGAAAGCTAATGATTAAAGAAAAGCTAACTGCGGTAATATCTATAAACTGTTGGGGAGTACAATTGTAGGTGGAGTTCATTCTGTGGAGTCAGATGATGATAATACAAAGTTATGACATATGCGTCTGGGTCATCTTAGTGTCATCTTCTGGGTCATCTTAGTGAACGTAGATGGTGGAATTGCATAGAAGAAACCTATTACATGGTGTTAAAAGCAGTAAACTCGATATTTTTAAGTTTTATGTTCTTGGAAAACAGACTTGAGTCAGTTTTATGACTAGAAAACATAAAATCGAAGGGATTATTGATTATGTGCATTTTGATGTATGGGGCCCTTTTAGGGAATCTTCATTGGGAGGATCTCTGCATTTTCTTACATTTATTGATGATCTCTCCAGAAAAGTTTGGGTGTATTTCTTAAAGCAGAAATCTCTTCATTGGGAGGATCTCTGCATTTTTTTACATTTATTGATGATCTCTCCAGAAAAGTTTCGGTGTATTTCTTAAAGCAGAAATCTGAAGTATTCTCTAAATTCAAGCTGTGAAAAGTTGAGGTAGAGAACCAAACTGGCAGAAATATCAAGTAGTTGAGGTTTGATAATGTCAAGAATACACAGATTTGCAGTTTCAAAAGCATAAGATTCGTAGTCATTTTTCAGTGTGCAAGACACCATAATAGAATGGTGTTGTAGAAAGGATGAGCATGTCCTTAACTGAAAGGGCAAGATGCTTGAGACTGAATGCAGAACTTTCTAAAAGTTTTTAGGCGGAGGCTGTGAATATGACATGATATCTCATCAATAGATCACTTCAGGAATCATTAAGTGGCAAGGTTGCAGAAGAGGTATGGATAGGTAATCCAGTTAATTTCGATCATTTACGAATTTTTGTTTGTCCTGCTTATGTGCATTTATTTGGGGATAAAAGATCAAAACTTGATACAAAATTCAAGAAGTGCATCTTTCTGGGGCTACAAGAAAGGTGTGAAGGGATACAAGTTTTGGGATCCGATTGCAAAGAAGATGATGATTGCAAAGAAGATAAAGAAGATGATGATCAGTAAAGATGCAGTGTTTGATGAGCAGTCTATGTTGCAGCAGAATCAAGACAAGGTGCCAGAGAATAGTTCCAGTTCAGATACAGTGCAACATCCAGTAGCAATTGAGATAGTTGAAAGTTGAGAACCAACACCTGGTGATTCCAATACAGATGATTTACAGAATTAGATTGTTGCCAGCGATAGACAGAGACACGCCAATATAAAACCTAATAGCAGATTGGGTTATGAAGACTTGGTCTCTTGTGCACTTCTCATCAGTAGCGATGATCCAGCCACTTTTCAAGGAGCTATCACCAATCAAGAGAAAGAGAAATGGATGGGTGTAAGGGTTGAGGAGATGGAGTCTTTGCAAAATCACACATGAGAACTAGTTCAGCTTCTTGAGGGAAAGAAGGCTATTGGGTGCAAATGAGTGTATAAAAGTGGGTGCACAAAAAGAAACCGGCAGTATCAGAAAAAGAAGGGAAAAAGTTTAAGGCTCGAGTAGTAGCAAAGAGATTTTCACAGTAGAAGGGGATAAATTATGATGAAATCTTTTATCCTATGGTCAGACATACTTTAATCAATGTAGTGCTTGCATTAGTAGCTATTTGGGATTTACATTTAGAGCAGATGAATGTTAAAACTATTTTTTTGCATGGTGATTTGGAGGAACATATTTACATGGAACAGCCATAATGGTTCACTCAACCTGGACAGGACCATCTAGTTTGCAGATTAAAGAAATCGTTGTGTGGATTGATGCAGTCTCCAAGACAATGATACAAGCGATTTGACTCCTACATGATTCATATTGTCTACAAGCGATGTGAGTATTTTTGTTGTATTAAGTGAAGAGTATTGATGATCTTTCTATTATTTTTTAGTTATTGTATGTTGACGATATACTGATTGCTGCAAAGAATATGAATGATGTTTGTGGTTTGAAAACTTTATTGAGCCAGAAATTTGACATGAAAGACTTGGGTCCTACGAAGAAAATTCGTGGAATGGAGATTCATCGAGATAGAGACTCAAGACGATTATGTTTATCTCAACGAGGTTATGTTGAGAAAGTGCTGGACAGGTTTTAGATGAGCAAAGCAAAGCCTGTGAGCACTCCATTGATAAATCATTTTATGCTTTCTTCAGAACAGTGTCATAAGACAGATACAGAAATCGAATACACGACAAAGCTTCCATATGCCAATGAAGTTGACTGCTTAATGTATGCAATGGTGTGTACTCGTTCTGATTTGACTCATGTTGCTAGTCAAGTCTATAAATACATGTCTAAACCAGGAAGACGACATTGAGAAGTAGTCAAATAAATTTTCAGATATCTGAAGGGTACTGTAGGACATTGAATTAATTTAGGCAATTAGCAGAATGATCCTTCAGTTGTGGGGTACGTTGATTCAGACTATGCATGTGATTTGTATGACAGAAGGTCTACAACTTGGTATGTGTTTACTCTTGGTGGAGGGCCTATATGTTGGAAATCAATAGTTCAGTCTATTGTGATATTATCTACAACTGAAGCTGATTACATGACAGTAGTTGAAGCTGCTAAAGAAGCTTTATGGCTTATTGGGCTAGTAAAGGAATTGGGTGTTGAGCAAGGCGGAGTTCAATTGCATTGTGATAGTCAAATTGTTATTTATCTTGCTAAGAACTAGGTGTACCATGTGCAAACAAAGCACGTTGATGTTAGGTATCACAAGATCAGAGAATTGATTACTTATGGTGATATTTTGTTGCAAAAAGGTCATACTTATGAAAATGCAGCTGATATGTTGACCAAGCCAGTTACTATCAACGAGTTCTTGCATTGCTTTGACTTGTTAAATGTTTGCAGTTGTTAGACAACATGACAGCCCAACCCACTTTAGATTGTAAGAAACTTCATAATTTATTTCTCCTAAAGGGGCTGGATATTCGCCAAGGTGGAGATTTACTATGTATGACCCATATACCATATAAGGGACAGATGCTGGAGCGGAACAGAGCGAGCAACGGAGCGGAGCAGAAGAATCTGTCCAATCAGGGGAGTTTCGTTACGTGGGTTGGGGTGCGGGGGCAACGCTCTGTGTTATGGTACAGAGATAATTCTGCAATTACATATTGTACTTCAGGCTTACATATATGTCTGTTTGTAACCCTAGGACTTATTCTGTATTCTGTACTCTTTTCTGAAATTAAAGGAAAGTCGTCGTTTTGCTTCCAAGAATGTAGGCATCTTTACTGAACCTCTTTAAATCTTTATGTGTTCTTCTTGATTTGTGTCGATTCTTATTTTTCTTTGCCCTAAAATCTCAACAATATATTAATCATTAGCATAGTAGTTTTTCTTTATATATATATATATATATATATATTATGATCACTGATAATTCTCATGCCAGCGGCCGGCACATGAGTGTTCATACTGAATTTTCTCCTTGAGAAATTAATGAGTAAATACCTGAAGATTAATAAGGGGCCCATCTTCCACTTCATTTCCTGTGATTAAAACAGTGAGAATAATTAACTAATATTAGAAATTGAATGAACATTCTAATAATTAAAAAGAAGAAAAAACAAACCTTGTGCAATCAATTGAGCAACGATGGGGACTATCATGCCGCCTTGAGAATCTCCAGCCACATAAAAGTCGTTGGAGTGAAAACGTGGGTGCTCAACTAACCACTACATTACGTAGCATATATGAGATAATCTGTAACGCTCAAGAAATAAAATATTTATGTATAAACTGACGGGGGAAGCGGTATCAGACCTTTTTAAGAAACACATAAACCTGGTTAGAACAAGAAGCGTCCCCTGTCTTATAGTTTTGAGACACAGGTGGGCTTGAGAATCCAGCCCCAGCCGGGTAATCCACGAAAATAATGCTAGATACCTAATTATTTTATCAAAATAGTTAATATACTAGCTAGTAATATATGAAGATAAAGAAAATATGATCAATTATACCTTCGTCCAAGAGTAAGGATTTTGATAAAGAGTTGGCACAGTCCCATCGTAAGCAGCTATTCGAAATTTTACTGGGCCTGCATGTGTACACATAAATGATAAATTAATGAAACATCTTCATTAATTTGCTTACCAGCAAATTAAAAATGTTAAAAAATAACAAGGGGAGAAAAAGGAAAAATTGGAATAACGATCTTCCAACTAACTACAATGACAGACTCACCAATTTCGAAGAAGAGAGCGGTGAAGCTGGAACAACCTGGGCCACCACTAAGCCATAGGAGGACTGGGTCCTCACTGGCGTTTCTCTCCGACTCGATGAAATAGTAGAACAACTCCACCCCACTTACTTCATCCACTGTCAAATACCTGCACGATTATTGATGCATTTTCATGTCCCCTCTCCTATTTATTCTCTAATTTCCTTCTAGTTACAAGCAAACAAATGAGCCACATGAAGATTAATTGGATGGGCTCACCCGGTTTCCATACGGAAGGGAAGTGGCGCCGCATTGAAGCCTGGGAGATGCTTAACATGAGTTGCAGAGCGAGAAAATGGGCACAGCATCATCAACACGACGAATAAACTAATTAGCCGAACAAGAGATCTCCGACGAGCCATCGCCGGACTCCGTGAAAAAGAGACGGAAAGGGAGAATGTGTGAGCTTGCGCGTGAAGGGGGGCGAAGGACGGTCATAATATAGCACGTGCCTGCCATGGCAAATGACCGAGAAGACTGTTAGGTGACTTTAGTGTCAGTGTCTCAACTTAACCTACCGACCTAACGGTCTTCAGTTGCTTTTCCTTGCTCCATTATGTGGAATGTCCGCGGTCACTTTCGAAAGCATTCTAGAATTTATGCATCGGATTGAAATTCAGTTTGTTCCATTGGTTTTCAAGCTTTTTATCACTATTTATCGTATTATATATATATATATATATAAAATAAAAAAACAACTCGTGGCTCCGTGCGCGTTAATAATAAAAGAGGTTACAAAGTTGGGGAGGAAAGAGGTTACAAAGTTGGGGAGGGATAGTGGATCCCCAAAAGAGGTTACAAAGTTGGGGAGGTATAGTGGATCCCCATCTAAAAGCAAAAAAAAAATACATCATAGACCTAGGGGTTCCACTCGCCACTGTACAACTCGCCACAGTACAACTCAACGTGAAATAAAATGAAAAAAGTAAAGTAAAAAAGACATCCCAAAAACACATGTGATCCAAAATGTATACCAAAAGAAAAGTATACCCAAAAAAATACATGTACACCAAATCTCATATCATTTGTAGTGAAGAGCAGCAAGAACGAAATAGAGGCTTCTTGGTCCAGTGAGAAATAGAACAAAAAACATCCAACCCTGCAAACAGTAAATAGACCCTATGCCAAGACAAAAGGAGGTTGCCACATAATAAAAAGCTCGAAATAGTGAAGGTTGCATGAGCATAAATATTGGTTCTTAGAGAGATGGTTATTCTTAAGTAAGTAAAATTTAAGCCCCCAAAGCACAAAAAACAGAAATAACAAAGTGAATAGCAGTTTTGTATCTTTAAGGCCAGCATTGTTATCCAAAATTTCCAAATATTATAAATGTCTGTAGCTCATGCAGTCTCATGCAGTCTTATTACGTAAAATGGAGTCCCGGTCAAACAAAACCGAGCCTAACACGTTGTCCAGCAGGAAAAACTGGACTAGAAAAACCTTCTAGCCACCATCCAAGTGCCAATAGTTCTAGTTGCATCATTTCGAAAATAAGGATCACAACCAAGAAAATCTAAGCTCAAAATAGTGTCCAATATAGACAACCTGGAGCAAAACCAAATATCATAGCCGTAGCAAGTAAAAGGAGCCATTGGCCTCCAAACAAAGATAAGGAGCCATGAGCCACCAAAAGTAAGGCACTCAAAATTTTGGAGCCTTGGGCCTCCAAAAATATTAGTGGGGTGATAATTGATGAAATTATAATCATAATTCCTGAAAGACATGATAATTAAAAGGATTCATGGGCCTCCAATAAAAGAAGAGCATGGGACACTAGAAATAAAAGAGCCATGGGCCTCCAAATAACCCTGGGAGTTTAACAGAAAGAGCCTGAACCGATGAGCATAAGTAACATAAGTAAAGTTTAGTCAATCCCCATAATATAAGCTGAAACCGCCAGCTACCCAGCACAAGATGATAAGGGGAATAAAAAACAGAAAACCTTCAGCACTTCCCTTAGAAAGAACAAGCCAATCAGAGTAGAATGGGATAATAGTGAAAAGATTCAACATAAAGCGCCATCATCTCCTCAAATAAGGAGTATCCATTATATCACTTAGTATATAGCTTTTAAGGGGTGTATACACACACACACACACACACACACACACACACAATTACATAAATTAATAAAAATTAATATAGAAATAAAAAGGATTTTATTCATGCATAGGCTTAAAGATTCTCTGTTTTGCCATTTGAACCTGCAGTTTGACTCATTTCCTGCAGTTCAACTACAAAAACAATTATGTATGGATTTCAGACTTGACCAGTTGCCAGTTCACGATTGAATCGGTTGAACAAGCTTGTCCGATCTGATTTTTAAAACTTTGATAATAACAAATTGGGCTACAACAAATATAGTTGTTGACTATAATATTGATAGTTGCCCACAAAAGCTTAAGTAATGGCTGTAATAGTAGTAATTTGACACAAAGGCTTTATTTGTAAATAGTATTCAACAGTAGTTGACAACAAAAGTTGTAGTTGATTGCTACAAAGGTATGAGTTTGTCATCAAAGCTAAAGTAGATGGCCACAATTACATAATTGCTAATAAATGATATGGTTGGAAACTATGACAATAGTAATTAGCTACAAAGGCAGTAGTTGGGGGCTAAAATAGTGGCAGTTCGCCACAGTTGTTCTAGTTGGAATTTGTAATAATACTAGTTAACCACAAAGGCTGTAAATGATGGTTGCAAGAGAAATATTTGACCACAGTGGTCGTAGTTGGAAACTATACAATACCAATTAGCCATAGAACTATAGTTGGTGGTTGTAATATTTTGACATGTTTTACTTTCTATTGCATGTTTGCATATTTGGATTGTTTTTTCTGTTTCTTTTTTGTTCATCTGGAATGCTACGAAAATAATAATCTACACTCATTAAGGTCCTTAAAATTATTAATTTTCTACTCAAAATCCTAATAATAAAATATCGACATGATGAAAAGTTGGGATTAAAATTATCACAACTTTTAAAAATCTTCTTTAATTTCTCTGCATGACATTCTGGTCGGTTTTAAAATGGGTTGCATAACATGGCTCCCACACAAGTTATAATTAATAGGGCCTTCATATTAGGACTTATCAGCTAACTGCATCATATGTATGTTTAGAGGAGAAGCCCCCACACTTTTTTAACCCTACTGACCAAGCATAGATTTCCACTTAGGTGGTTGTCTAGTGTGCATAAGTCATTACAAAACTCCCCAACCTAGAGGGGGTGTAATTTCTTTTATTAGAGCGTTTCCACCTTTGTAGCTGGACCTCATTTTATCTTCTTTCCACCGGCAACCTTGCCACTTCGGCGGGTATAAGTCCCATCTCTTAGAGTTTTAACTGATAGTCATAGAATAAAGTATCATTCCTTTTATATTAGGGCTATCGAGGTTCCCGTAAATGACACAATTTACAGATTACTGATCGGAGATCTCTGAGTGTGTTGGGTCGACAACCTTTACGACTAAGAAGACTTAAGGTCCTAGTAGCTTGGGATGATAGGTCTGTGGTGTCACGATCTGACTACCTCTACTTGTTAGGGATTATTTATCCCTTCCTTTGACTATCCATTTTGAGCTATGTCGCTCCTCTTGTTGTCTTTGATATCGTCTTCATGATCTACTTACTCGACCTATCATTGAGAGGTTTATCACAGGTATGCTCTCTACTTTTTCTTTCTCTTGTTTGGCGTGTTTGTCATATGTCCGTCTTTTCTGGTTCCTCTCTTCCCCTAAACATTCGCAGCCTTATTCGGAAAAGAAAAGTATATGACGATGGAAAAATTGATGATTGCTTCAAAAAATAAAAAGAAAAGGGAACGAAAACAACGAAGTAGAATGCTACGCTAATTATTTGCGTCAGAATAATTTGACCCAACGAAATTAACATTACAGATCGACCCCCAAATTATCCGTGGAAAATATCACACATAAATCCGACGATAATCCTCAAATATCATCGAATTTACATTTGATTAGTGTCTAATTTGGCCGACACAATATTGTTAATTTCTTGTAGTGACGACTTATTGCGTAAATAATATAATAAAAACTGCCGGCAATATTGTTATTAATAAGCGAAGAAAATTCAATTGTTATGTCATCACAAATAACCCAACCCTAAACCATCCCTAGACAGTCGGTAATTTACATTATTTCTTACGGATGAAGCAGTCGCTTATTAAAAAACTGTGTCAATTAGCACCCTGCCATAATCGGTGTATAATGGTCATCGGTTAACATCTGCTTTTAACCAACGACATAAGGCATCATTAATGATTAAATCCGTTGGAAAAATTTTTACTGATTATAAGCGACGACATTTTTTGTTGTTACGTCGTCACAAATAACCCAGATTAGAAATTGTCACTATACCGTCGGAAAATGAAACATTTTTTGCGACACAAGAATAGATCGTCGATTTTAGCGCTTTTTTTCTAAAGTGAAATCATTCGATAAGAGTACTTTGGTTGTAACCGCCTCTTATGATATCATTTGACGGCAAAACCACATGAATAAAGGACTAGGGTCACTTCCTTACTAGCAGGGAATTATTTTGAGTTTGAATACAGTAATATATTTGATATGACATTGATTCTATGTGAGCTCAGGTTATTATTAGATTTGGTTACCTCGACAAATGATTTGGAATGGTAGAAAGATTTTGTTTTCTCTTTTTAGTGAACTTCATTGTTATATATATATAT